TGTCAAATTCCTGTTCTGTCCCCGTCTCACACACACACACAAACAATCAGCCAGGGGTTAAATAAAACTTGCAGACAATAAATTCCTTTGATAACAGGATTGGCAGCAACCCAGTAGCTGCTTGCCAAGAACTTTACTCTCAGAGGGAGGTGTTCCTCCTCCGTCAGATGAACCAAAACAAATACACAAAGCCACAGAATTGTCAAGTCCAGTCCGTATTAAATCCAAGGCAGGCAGATAACGTAGTTTCAGAGATACAATGCGACTCGCTAGTTGTTTAGTTTTGTCCGTCACAGAGCCTGAATGGCCACCACACCCCCTTTTATCCCCTGTGGGGTGTGGTCCAGTGACTCAGCTTAATCTCTGACACGCCTCCTTTTCTGCTGCGTGCGCTTGTCTCTCCGACGCTGGCGTGGATCCAGCCAAGACTTATCTCCGTCATTGTCCGACTGCGACTGCTCGGCGATACCTGGCTCCTGGCCAATCTCTTCTCCTTCGGGAGACACCTGAGGCATTGCCAGAGAGGAGGGTCCTGGAGAGGGAGGCCTGGCCAACTCCTCTCCTTCACTTTCGGAGCCTTCTCCCTCCGATAAAGCGGGCTCGGGGGTCGGAGTCACAACAATTCCTGGCCTATGGGCTGGATGTGTCATGCGGTGGCCATGCCCACGCCCACTTTAGTGAAGGGAGAAAAAGTCCCAATATGTCACGTGATGCTGCTGTGACGACATGCGTTTGACACCCCTGGTATAGAGTAGAGTAGAGTAGAGTAGAGTAGAGTAGAGTAGAGTAGAGTAGAGTAGAGTAGAGAGTAGAATAGAATAGAATAGAAATAGAATAGAATAGAATAGAATAGAATAGAATAGAATAGAATAGAATTCTTCATTGGCCAAGTGTGATTGGACTGACAAGGAATTTGTCTTTGGTGCAAAAGCTCTCAGTGTACATAAAAATATATATACATCAAGAATCATAAGATACAACACAGCGATAGTCATAGGATACTAAATAAGCAATCAAAATCATACTAGAAAACTAAATAAAACAATATAATCGTAAAGATACAAGAAACAAGGTTACAAGTAAAAGGAGATAGGTAATAGGAAGATGAGAAGGAGAATAGTAATACAGTCTTAGTAAATAGTTTGACCGTGTTGTGGGAATTGGGAATTGGTTGAGTGATGGCATTCGGGAAAAAACTGTCCTTGTGTCTAGTTGTTCTGGTGTGCGGTGCTCTATAGCGTTGTTTTGAGGGTAAAAGAGGCCATCATGGTTGCAAGAACAAGCAAGAGGAAACCCAAAAGAGGAAAGCAAACTATGTAGAAGGAAAGTGTTTTAAGAAATGCTCACCTGGATTAGGCCAAATGCTAATCCAGCAATTTGGCATAGTAAAATATCTAATCAGGAGCATTTAAACACAACACCATGGACGGGAGGTAAATATTTCCCTTCCACTATTGCTCCCTAGCAGTTGGCATGCATGATTCCAGAGGCAACAGCTAGTCCTCGACTTACGACCCCAATCGAGCTCAACATTTCCATTGCTAAAGGGAGACAGCTGAGTGAGTCTTGCCTTATTTTACAACCATTCTTTGTCACAGTGGTTAAGTGAATCACTCCAGCTGTTAAGTGAGCAACGCAGTTGTTAAGTGAATCTGGCTTCCCCATTGACGTGGCTTGCCAGAAGGTCGCAAAGGGCGATCCTATGACCCCGGGATGCTGTGACCGTCATAAATACGAATCAGTTGGCAAGAATCTGAATTTTTAGATCACATGCCCACGGGGATACTGGGATGGCTGTAAGTATGAAAAACGGTCGTAAGTCACTTTTTTTTTTCCAGTGCCGGTCTAAGTTTGAAAAGTCAGTAAAACAAAAGGTCATAAGTCAAGGACTACCTCTATCAAGACCCTGGATAGCCACTGTGACTGTATTAGGAATCCATCCAGCCCTGTCTGAAAACCTCACAACTGATGGCCTTCAACCAACCTTAGGAGTACGGATTGCATGGCTGAGCAATGAATGGCACAGATATCTCCTTTATATATATATCCTTCCTGAATTTCCCAGCATTTTATTTTCAGGGATGGCGCTTAGGGCAGGGGTCTCCAACCTTGGCAACTTTAAGACTTGTGGACTTCAACTCCCAAAATTCCTCAGCCAGCTTTGCTTCACTTGCTGAGGAATTTTGGGAGTTGAAGTCCGCAAGTCTTAAAGTTGCCAAGGTTGGAGACCCCTGCCCTAAGTAGACCCCCCTCCTCCTCTACTTTTTCTCCATTGTGTGAGATTTTTATACACTTCTCTTGTGTCTTTTGTGTGTGTGTGTGTGTGTGTGTGTGTGTCCCTCCCTCTCTCCAAGCCTAAAAAAACGAAAGCACCCCTCCTCCATCTGTAATTTTCTCTGGTCTCCTAATCCAGGGGTCTCCAACCTTGGCAACTTTAAGACTTGTGGACTTCAACTCAGCTGGCTCCCAGGAACTCTGGGAGTTGAAGTCCACAAGTCTTAAAGTTGCCAAGGTTGGAGACCCCTGCCTTAATCAGTCCTGGTTGCCCTTGGTCCAAAGTTGTACCTTCTGCCCGAGGTCCTCCAAGCTCTGTTTCCCCTATAAGCCGTGTTTCCTTTATTTTCAATGCCCTCTGGCATGATTCCAAGCTTGGAATTTGATTTTTTTTTCTTTCCCCGCCCTCCAGCCTGCAGCAACACACTGTTAACTACTTAACTTAGCATAACCCTGATCCCCATTGTAATTCGGATCTCCAGCTGTGTAGGGGGGGAACATTACTGCTTCAACCTCAGCTGGAGGCCGTTGTCCCCCCCCCTCCCCGGGCAACTGTCCTCCAGCCCAGTCTTTGCCAAGTACCTCTCAGTACACCTGATCCCCTCCAAAGCCTCTTGTCTGGAAACACCCAGGAGTGAATTAATCTCTCCACTACTCCAGAGAAAAGCATGTTTTGAAAGGTGCAGGACAGTCATCGGTTCTTTCATGCCTGCCATGAATAGGGTTGGTTGGGACTGTTTCTTGCAGAAGTTTTACATAGTCTGTCTCTGCCCAGCCTCCCTTGTGAACCCCCCCTCCCGGCCTTTGGAAAACCCCCACACACACACACACACCCATCCACCCACCAGCAGAAAGACAGCAAGATCTGAAAAGTATTTGCAGAAAGGGGGCTGTTCTTATCAACCAGGGATGGTCACAGCCTTCCTAGATCTCAGAGAAGGGTGCCCCTATCCCAGAAGTCAGTAACCTGCGGCTCTGGAGCTGCATGTGGCTCTTTCACCCCTCTGCTGCGGCTCCCTCACACGCAAAATATGCATCATAACCGCCAATGTGCGACACCCGCCAGCACGCGATTTGTTGAGCTTTTCAACCCTCCGGTAGGCCAACCATGGATAAATCCAAGAAAAGAAAAGTTTCAGAAGAAAACAGAACGTTTAATTCAACTACATATGCTAGTTTTGTGGCCGCTCAAGAAATAGTCAGGCACGGGAAGGGTTTTGTGGCTCCCGGTGTTTTCTTTTCTGTAGGAAACGGGTCCAAATGGCTCTTTGAGTGTTTAAGGTTGCAGACCCCTGCCCTATCCAGAGGATGAAATTTCCAAACTGCTTTCTTGTCGTGACTGTATACAGGTAGTCCTTGACTTATGACCACAATTTGACCCCCCCCCACATTTCCAATTGCAAGGTGAGACGTTTGTCAAATGAATTTTGCTCTCGTCTTGCGACTTTTCTTGCCACCCTGGTGGAGTGAAATCACTGCAGTTGTTAAAATTGGTATAACAGGGTTGTTAAGCGAATCTGGTTTTCCCATTGACTTTGCTTGTCAGAAGGTCACTAAAGCGGATCCCACGACCACGGGACCCAACAGATGATCCCCAATGTGAGTCGAGTTCCCAAGCGCCTGGATTTTGATCCCACGACCATGCGACAGCCGTAAGTCTGAAAAACGGTCGCAAGTCACTTTCTTTCTTGCCGTTGTAACTTTGAACCAATGTTAAGTCAAAGACTACCTGTAATTGCCAGCTAGACTCAACTTTGCTGATAATTCCCACAACCTGTTTGACCCGGTTGGCTTCTGGACTAGTAGCCTATATCGGGTCAAGCAAGACGACTTCATACCACGTCCTTTCAAAACGTGCACGGTTTAAGTTGGGCAAATATAGGCACAAAAGTCTCGGATAGGAGCAAGCATTACAATATGATCTCAACCAGGCTTGGCTCAGCGGCTAAGACGAAGCCCTGGTGGCTCAGCAGACTAAAGCACTGTTATTAACATCAGCTGCCTGCAATTACTGCAAGTTCAAATCTCCCCAGGCTCAAGGTTGACTCAGCCTTCCATCCTTTCTAAGGTAGGTGAAATGAGGACCCAGTTTGTGGGGGCAATAAGCTGACTTTGTATAAAATATACAAAAGTATGAAGGCTATTGCTTAACGCATTGTAAGCCGCCCTGAGTCTCCGGAGAAGAGCGGCATATAAATCAAACCAAAAAAAAAGACGATCAGAAAGGTCGGCAATTCGAATCCCTAGTATAGGTCTCTTACGTGAGCAGGGGGCGGGGGTTGGACTAGATGACCTCCAAGGTCCCCTTCCAACTCTTGTTACTGTTACTCTCGGACCTCTGGAAAAGGGCAATCAGCACATGGCCCGGGAGCTCTTTTCGTGTTTTTTTTTTTCCTTCTCTCAAACCCATCTGCCTCCTTTTGGGGAAAAAAAAAAAAAAAAAAAAGCCCAATCCGCTTTTCGCCGCAACTCCGGAGCGAAAAGAAGCGAAACTAAAGGACGAAAAGCGCTGGAGCCTTTTTTCTTTTTTTCTTTTTAACGACCTCGATCTTTAAAAGTCCAAAGGCCGAGATCTCCACGCGGCTAAAGCTCGGGAGTTAAGGCAAGCAGCTCCCCACCCATCCCGGGGCTCATCTTTTGGCATCCCAGGGGGAGGAAAAAAAAGGGAAAGCGACCCGCGTGGGGGGGAAAGGAGAAAGGGAAAGTCACCCCCGGAGGGCACCCACCTGCAGCTGGCTGGAGCAGCCGTACTGGATGAGCGGGGTGAAAGTGGTGAGCTGGAGCTCGGCGTCGGTTTGGAACTGGCTGCCCACCAGGTTGGGCATCTTGGTGACGTTGTAGCCCAAGTTCTGGCACATGGAGATGCGGATGGCATCGCAGCGGCGTTCCTCTTCGTCGCCGAAAGCGCACGCCGCTTCCAGAGCCGCCGCCAGCAGCAGCAACAGCAGGAGCAGCAACCGCCGCCGCCGGGCGCCTTTTGGCCCCGAGGCCGGGCACATCGTCCCGGCAGGCTGGGCGCCAACTCTGCCGGTTCCAGCCCTGCAGCGGCAGCAAAAGCCTGCAAGCCGCCGCTCCTTTCCCCCGGATCCCAACGTTCCCCGATCGCCGGCCGCTTCTTGCGCCTTGCGCGCTTCTGGCTCCGCCGCCGGCTCAGCGCGCTGTGACACCAGGCGAGGCGGTGCTGGCTGGGCGAGAGGAGGGGGCGGCGCCGGCGGGCGGGCGAGCAACCTGCCCAAGGGGAGGGGAAGGGAGGCCTCGCGTCGGCCCGCCTCCCCCCCCCCCAGCCTCCCGCCTCCCGCCTCCCTCGGCCTCAAGCGCCGGCCGAAGGAAGAGTTGAAGCAGGATCAGGAAGCCCGACGTCTGCCTCGGAATGGGAAGCGCAAGGCAGGACGGGGTGGGGGGTGGGGTGGGGGGTCTTTCGTGCTGCGGGATAAGAGTCGAGATCACGGGAAGGGGGAATGCCGCTTTCTAATGCCTTGGGTAAGACCAGACTTGGAATGGGACTATTATGGCAATTTGCACACAGCTAAGGTGCCACAACCAACTCACCACAGCTAAACTTGCCAGGGCCAACTCACCACAGCCAACTCACCATGCCCAACTCACCATGCCCAACTCACCATGCCCAACTCGCCATGGCCAACTTGCCAGGGTCAACTCACCAGAGCTAACTTGCCAGGGCCAACTCGCCACAGTCAACTCACCACTGCTAACTTGCTACGCCCAACTCACCACAGCCAACTTGCTACGCCCAAGTCACCACAGCCAACTCACCATGTCCAACTTGCCAACTCGCCACAGTCAACTCACCACAGTTAACTTGCCAGGGCCAACTCGCCACAGTCAATGCACCACTGCTACGCCCAACTCACCATGTCCAACTTGCCACAGCCAATTCACCATGGCCAACTTGCCACAGTCAACTCACCACTGCTAACTTGCTACGCCCAACTCACCATGGCCAACTTTGCTACGCCCAAGTCACCACAGCCAACTCACCATGTCCAACTTGCCAACTCGCCACAGTCAACTCACCACAGTTAACTTGCCAGGGCCAACTCGCCACAGTCAATGCACCACTGCTACGCCCAACTCACCATGTCCAACTTGCCACAGCCAATTCACCATGGCCAACTTGCCACAGTCAACTCACCACTGCTAACTTGCTACGCCCAACTCACCATGGCCAACTTGCTACGCCCAAGTCACCACAGCCAACTCACCATGTCCAACTTGCCAACTCGCCACAGTCAACTCACCACAGTTAACTTGCCAGGGCCAACTCGCCACAGTCAATGCACCACTGCTACGCCCAACTCACCATGTCCAACTTGCCACAGCCAATTCACCATGGCCAACTTGCCACAGCCAACTCACCACAGCCAACTTGCTACGCCCAAGTCACCACAGCCAACTCACCATGCCCAACTTGCCATAGCCAATTCACCACAGTCAACTCACCACAGTTAACTTGCCAGGGCCAACTCGCCACAGTCAACGCACCATTGCTATGCCCAACTCACCATGGCCAACTTGCCACAGCCAACTCACCACAGCTAACTTGCTACGCCCAACTCACCATGGCCAACTTGCCACAGCCAACTCACCACGCTAACTTGCTAGGGCCAATTCACCATGGCCAACTTGCCAGGGCCAACTTGCCACAACCAACTCACCACAGCTAACTTGGTACGCCCAACTCACCATGGCCAACTTGCCGCAGCCAACTCACCACGCTAACTTGCTAGGGCCAATTCACCACAGCCAACTCACCATGGCCAACTTACCACAGCTAACTTCCACAGCCAATTTACCACAGCCAACTCACCATGGCCAACTTGCCGCAGCCAACTCACCCCACTAACTTGCTAGGGCCAATTCACCACAGCCAATTCACCATGGCCAACTTACCACAGCTAACTTCCCACAGCCAACTCACCATGGCCAACTTGCCGCAGCCAACTCACCCCACTAACTTGCTAGGGCCAATTCACCACAGCCAACTCACCATGGCCAACTTACCACAGCTAACTTCCACGGCCAACTTACCACAGCCCACTTGATGCAGGACAACTCACCCAGCTAATTCACCACAGGACAACTCGCTGCGGGACAAGAGTTACAGTAATATCAAAGAAACGGTGGAATAGAATCATTAAAGAATGGATGCAAAAGGTTCCTGCAACCCATTCATCATATGTTTTAGCCTCCAGTCCCCTTAACAATCCTGGTTGCTCTTCTCTGCACTTCTAGAGTCTCAACATCTTCTTTATAGTGTGGTGACCAAAAGGATGGGTTGTGTAAATGCAACGGACTTCAACTCCCAGAATTTCTAAGCCAGCACTTTATTCCAATTTTCCAGCACGCTAGAAAATTAACATTAAAATTAAGAAATTAAAATTAACTTCTGGGTATTCCAGAAGTTAAAATCCAGGCATTTTAAAACTTGTTATAGGGTTGAGAAACACAGCAGCTTAACCGATTGAATGCTTTGATGTGTAGTAAGAAAATGAAGCCCCCCCTGAAAAGACCCCTTCTTTTGCACCCCAAAAAAACCTTGAGAAACAGAGAAACCAAGAAAAGAAACGTTGGAATCAGAAACCTACATAAATGTGTTGCAAAAGCAGAAACGTTGAATTTAGCCTGTATATTCACAAAGAGGTAATCGACAAACTAAAGATAAGGGGATAGGATTAATTACATGTGTCAGACAGGATTAAAACCCCGAAGAAGCCAGTATTTAGGATTAATTACAGTTGTTAAACAAAATTTAAAAAATCCAAGGAAGCCAGCACTTTAGACTCATAGAGTGCAGTACTGGAGCTACTTCAGCTGACTGCTAGTTCAGCAGGTCAGCAGATCAAATCTCACCGGCTCAAGGTTGACTCAGCCTTCCATCCTTCCGAGGTGGGTAAAATGAGGACCCAGATTGTTGGGGGCAATATGCTAATGCTAATGCAATATGCTATTATGCAATATGCTATATACTAACTTTGTAAACTTTGTAAACCGTTTAGAGTGGGCTGTAAAGCACTATGAAGCGGTATAGAAGTCTAAAAATAATAATAATAATAATTGCCGGCCTTTGCGAGACAAACTAATTAAAATCAAATAACAAAAGTACACAAAACAAGCCTCTCTAAATTATGAAATGCTGTAAAAAAAAACAACCTGTATAAAAAAATCCATGCACTGACCAAACCCAATTGGTCAGCTGTCCCAGAACTGAACACTGTGGTTCTGTTCATCAATAAACTTTCTTTCCAATCAGCCTCCATTTTATTCCCGGCTTGGAAGTGAAACTGGATTTTCCCTCCAACAGATGGATGCAGCCTGCCTTATGGATCAGGGGTGGGTTCTACTTATCTTTATTACCGGTTCGCAACAGGATTGCGCGCATGCACTCGCTTTGCTCACGCATATGCCTTGCTTTGCGCATCGCTGATGATGACATCCGAGGTGTTAGGCGGGACCTCCCGCCGGTTTTACTACCGGTTCTTGCGAACCGGTCCGAACCGGGGGCAACCCGCCACTGTTATGGATGTACTGTAGCTGGTCTAGGCCAAAGCCATATCAGTCACCAGACCTCCCTAGTTACGACTTGCAGAGTTGGAAAACGTGTCTCTTTCCTGTCATTTTTGTAGTCTTGAGACCTCTCTGAAATTGAGTGGTGGTCACCCAAGAAGACTTCGCCTTCCACCAAAATCAGGAAAACCCACACGCCAGCATTTCTTAATCTCAGTAACTTCAAGGTGTCTGGACTTCAACTCCCAGAATTCTCCAGCCAGTATGCCTTAAAACAGTGTTCGCAGCATTAAAAACGGCCAATCTGAACCACCTGCTCCACAGATAAATGTTGGGGGAGGGGAGGGGAGGCCCAAATTCCACACCCACTTCTGTGATGGGAAGTGTCATTCATCTATCATCACACTCTGCCAGCCAAGAAAAGTGGTTTTAAACAAGATTTAGCACAAGATGTAGCTTTTTGCTACATGCAAGGGAGCTAGGATGGCCTGTTGGGAATGTTTCGTAGTATAGATAAGACCAAGTTTATTGTTCATAATGAAATATGTCTGGTGTACAGGTAGTCCTTGAGTTACAACCATTCGTTTAGTGACCATTTGAAGTTATAATGACCATTTTTCACACTTAACAACCATTGCAGCATTCCTCAGGGTCATGTGAACAAAATTGGGATGCTCATATTTATGATGGTTGCCGTGTCCTCGGGGGGGGGGGTGTCATGTGATCCCCTTTTACAACTTTCTGACAAGCAAAGTTATTGGGGAAGCCAGATTCCCTTAGCAATGACGTTACTAACTTAACAACTGCAGTGATTCACTTAACAACTGTGACAAGAAAGGACGTAAAATGGGACAAAACTCACCAGAGACAAATTCCGTGTGTGTCTAATCACACTTTGCCAAATAAAGTATTTTGTTCTGTTCTGTTCTGTTCTGTTCTGTTCTGTTCTGTTCTGTTCAACTACCCTGTCTCTGTACCTCTAAGGCCCCTTCCAACTCTGTTATTAGTCTAGTCTAGTCTATTTCTATTTCTATTTCAATAATTCTATTCTATTTCTATTCTATTCTAATAATTCTATTCTATTCTATTCTATTCTATTCTATTCTATTCTATTCTAATTCTAATTCTAATTCTAATTCTAATTCTATTCTATTCTATTCTATTCTATTCTATTCTATTCTATTCTATTCTATTCTATTCTACTCTACTCTACTCTACTCTATTCTATTCTTCTTGTTCTGTTCCATTCTTGTTCCATTCCGTTCTAATCCTATTCTGTCCTGTCCTATCCCATCCCATCCCCTTCCATTTTTCAGTGCCATTGTAACTTTGAGCGGTCACTAAAGGAATGGTGGTAACTCAAGGACTACTTGTATCTTACTAAAGGACAAACCTATCCATATTTATTCAAAATTGTGCCCACAGAACTCTGTGGCAGAATTCCCATCCTAGGCTATATAAGTTTGTACCTGAACCTGAAATAACCCTCATTGAAAAGGTTTACTTTGGAAAAACACTCTTGTGCAAATACTAATATGCAGGGGTGGGCTGCTGGCTGTTTGCAGGGGTCCAGGAGAACCTCTAGCTAAGATTCTGTGCAGTT